TAGACTTTATTCATTAAGACATTCTCTTCAATGGGATCAACGGGGAAAATGACAGAAGGGATATAACGGAGCACACGAAGACGACACCTCGGCTGTGTATGACTTGGAGAAACGGCAGGAAATAAGATGAGTTGGGTGTAAGAGCTTAGAGCAGAGATAAATGGAAATAAATTTGCTAATTTTCTTATGAGTTATAAAATATTTATTCTATAATGTTTATAGTATAAGTGTTTTTTTAAAAAAGTTTTTATGCATGTATAAGAGCGAGAAAAAAAGCGGGGAGGGGGGTTCCTTGTTAGAAATACGCTGACACATGTTCCGCCCCTGCTAATTAAAGTAACTCTATCCAACCCTCATAGCATTAAACACGGTAATTCTACCCATGTATATATAAAGATTGCAATGACACCCTCCCCCCCCACACCCAAACACCTTCACCAACCACGATAACCCCACCACCCCCAAAACCCCCATCAACCCAATGGAATAGCTACTCACTAAAAGGATTCTAATAGAAATTGATCTTCTCTCCGCTCCTAATCTTCTTAGAGTCAGACCAACAATTAGGCCTCCCACTTGAGATCATGTTATCAATGGACATAAAACAATTTCACATTTGAAACTTTTCACTTAATTAATATGTCATGTAGAACACTGGATCAGTATGTCCTGTAAGGTACTGGATATATCATGTACTCCTTGTTGCCAGAGACCTGGCAGCGCTTCTTCTTACAGGTGAGCAACATTCGGCTTGAGTGAGGAAGCAACTGAGTCCCTCAGTATAGCTTGAAGATGCTCATCAGTACTGTTTCAGCCCTGAACTTTGAATTGTTAAAGTTCATAGGGGAAAAGAGTTTTTCACACAGATAGGTACTTATCCCCAATATACCAACCACCCAGGCCTTCAAAATTGCACTCAAAACACATCTCTTTAAACTATACTACCCTGACTGATTCCCCTCCTCTGACTGATAAATGATCTTGTTGGCTGCCGTCCATGGTTTGCCTTGTAAAAGTCCTGGGGTTCATGCTGTTCTTTATTTCAAAATTTTATTTCATTTTAATGTCATGATTATGTCTCTTTTGATAATATTTTTATGTACAGCGAGGTGAGCTCAGCCCTAGGCTGGGGTACCGCGCTATAAAAGACCACAAATTATTATTATTATCATTAATCCCAGAAAGGCAAATGATCGGCTTGAACAATCTGGAAATCTCAGGGAAGGTGGCGGGCAATGCTCTCAAAACTTGTCCATGTTTGTCTGTTTTTCAATTCATCTCCCTTAACTTAGAATTGCACTGAAGATCAATCAGCTCCATTTGAAGCGGAAAGCAGGGGGAGGGAGTGTGAGGGGAGCATCTTCCATGACTTTAAAGGTGAAAGGATCAGCAAAAAGTTGAAAAGTGGCTCTGTGTATTTTAAAGTCTAAAAACATGTGTTAAAATTGTTCCTGTAGCTTTGCAATGGCATCAGTATAGTTACTACTGAATGAGTCCATGAGTACTTTGTATGTTGGGAAATGGCAGAGGTCTCTCTAAGAACTATAACACAAGTTTAGTGCAGAATGCCCTGACATTGTCATAGGCAACACTGACAAGCTATTCCTGGTCTTGTAACTTCTTGTTGAGTACACTCAGCTCCTGTTTAATGTTAACAAGAGAAGCCCTGTCCATGAGCCATTTGGGAATTATTTAGCACAGAAACAACCACCTCATCCTTTTCCATGAAGATTTTAATTGCTAAAACGTGTTCAAACAGTCAGCAGGAGCAGGTAATATTTATGAATCATTGATGCGAAAGAAGATTCTATTGTAGGGAGAATGAATTTTGATTTTTAGACTAACCCTATTTAGAAAGTGGCCAAGCTGGCAGGCTCGGAATTTTCCCCAACTCATAAACACTGTTGACAATGTTAATAGGGATTCTTTGATACTGTGTCAGATTGCTACGAGTTACACAATCATGGTTGTGCATTACCCGCCATCTGACTTTTCACACTTTCCTCAGAGCCGCATTTTGCCATTTTTGTCTCATAAAATCCTATAAAATAAAAACAATAAGTCCGATTTTAAAACGATTTTTTACCATTATAATCAACGTCCAAACCTATACAATGATTATACAAATTAGAATTAGACTGGTCGGTGAAATTCGACTTAAACCGTCGCGGATGGTCACGTGATAGATACGAGGTGGATGGTCACGTGATAGATATGAGAATGTAGAAAAAGCGCGGGTCGCATTAACGCTAAACTTTGCTGTCAAGTAGCGGGTTGAAAAATATTGTCTTGCGGGCCGCTAATGACCCGCGGGCCGTGAGTTTGAGACCCCCTGCACCAGGGCCGGCCCTAACAATTGCGGGGCCCTATGCGAAACGGATTGCGCGAGGCCCAGTCTGGGTAGGGATAAGGATAATAAGTAAAAATTAAGATTTTGTATTAGAAAGTGGGGCCTATGAAAGTGCGGGGCCCACTGCGGCCGCATAGGTTGCATCGGCCAAAGGCCGGCCATGCCCTGGACTAAGAGAATTCAGCATTAATTGAAAACAAAAAAAACAAAAATCAAACTGTCAAAAAAATAAAAAGTTTTTTATCGTTTGTATTTGTTTGCTGTTTATGATCGTATTTTGCCAAAGATTGCGACGTCGTGTCAATAAACAATGATATATGTGAAAGTTGCTACAGTTCCTTCTTTTGACATCAATGGAAATTACATTTGTGGATACTCAAAAAAATTGGAGGTAAATCCATCTAATGCTTCATTAAGGAGCTATGTGATATCAGTTAGGAGTTAGTGATTAGGCCGCATTAGCTCATCTACAGGGACCTTGACTGCCGGCATTGCAGCCTGGTCCCGGAAACACTGGCGCATCTTTTGACCGAATGTCCCCTCACTAGATGTTTCAGGGGAGGCCAGGGCAGCGGGATAGCCCTACGTGAAGCCAATGTTATACGGCACAGCCCAACAGATGGAGCTGGTAGCTAATGTACTAGATGGCACAGCCCAGCAGATGGAGCTGGTAGCCAATGTACTAGCCGGGACAACTCAGCAGATGGAGCTGATTGCCAATGTTCTAGCCGGGGTCATAAGAGAGTAACCTCAGACCTTGAAAAGAATATGTGTGTTAGTTAATATACGGTATGTAATGGTGTTCTCTTTTACACTCCTAAAAGAGAACATAGCTTTTACCCCAGGCAGTATCAACAAAATGGAAGATAAGGGGTTTCCAGTGATTTTCTTTTTTTCTTAATAAATGAGTAATATTTATTTATCAGGAAACATGTAAAATAAGGTGAAGACCCCTAACCATACAATTATTTTCCTGCTTCTTCATAAATATAATTTTTATGCTTTCCGATTATCGAAAAAAAGGACACAACAAAACAGCGAACTTCTCGAAAAGAAGCCTTCTTCGGCAAATAGTATAAACAAAGAGTTTTTTTTTCTTTTTAAATAAAAACTTAACTGAAATATATTCCAGAAAGAGGAATGTAGTAAAATATAAGTAGGTAAGAGAATTAATATAGGCAAAGGAAGAAGGAAGTGGGGAAGAGGATATAATGCAGTGATTGATTTTAATTTTTTTTTTTTTTTTTTTTTTTTTTTTTTTTTAATTTTTTTTTTTGTTTTTTTTTTTTTTTTTTTTTTTTTTTTTTTTTTTTTTTTTTTTTTTTTTTTTTTTTTTTTTTTAAAGCTTTCTACTGGATTCTTATCTTAAAGTATAACTAAATAGATGGGGAAGATTGTCTATTATTGTGATATTAAAAAGAGAAAATCAGTTGGGAATCTAATAAATATAGGCTGAGTATTTTTTTGAACTATAACTTTAATGCAATAGTAGCACATTTAAGGAAAGCACAGACGCTTTGGATACAATAATTGATGAAGTGTGCACTGTTTGCATGCGCCCGTCAAATTCTTAATTTTACTTCTTGTTTGGTTTTAATATTTTTTTTTTTTTAGTTTTCATTTTTTTTCTAGCTCAACGTACAAGAAGTCGAGCACAATTACAACTGCGTAATAGTAACTTTTTTTTTAGCATGAGGCCATCATACAATTTATAAATAAGATCTATTCCACTGGAAACTGTTGGGCCACCATCTCGTACATCATTAGTTTAACCTGTGAATGTACAAGACAAACTAATATTATATTTTATATGCTTCTTTTTTGATGAATTTAATAATTTTTTAAAATAATATTTACTACATTAGCATTTCCAGCTGTCAGTACAATATTGTGTACAAAACATTACGACAATAATAATATAGCGTCATCGAACAACAAAGACAGAAAGACGTTGGCGTTCCTTTTTTATAAAGAGAAAGAGCTGATATAGGCACTCTATAAACGTGTATAGTTATCATTCAGATGCATTTCTATAAATATATAATTGCATAGTCTGCACGGTAACACTTTGACTTGGAGTGATTCAGCAAACTTATTAAGTGTACTAGTACTAGATAATAGTATATATGGGGTCGCATTATTGGCCCAATTTATATTATTTTTCGTGGAAGGTGGCAAAAATATCTGGGACCGCCCTGGGCGGCACTAACCCTTGCCTCCCCACTACTTTCAGAAGCCATCTAATTCTTATTTCCTTCAACATAACTTTTACGACTTTGTGTTATTAACGCTGTAAACGAAGCATTAGATTAAGAACAAAATAACGACTTCGTAGTTTTCGGCAGCGGTGATAACACATCCTTCGGTGTGTTAACTTTATCGACGCGATATGTGTATTGGGGGAGGGAGGGAGTATTTATTACCGATACATAATTAGATTATTTTAATTTTTTTAATTTATATAATTAAAAGAGAAATAATTCCCAAATATCATGAATTTAACTTTTCCTAATCACTCGATCTGCAGTGAAGATATCAATCTTTGAAAATAAGGATGAATAGAATTTTTTTTTAACGAATGGATCATGGAATTAAAGGAAGCACACCCATATTCCGGGGGAATAATCTAACCGGAAATAAATAACCAGGAAGTGAAACGAAAACAGAAAAATCGAAATACTGATTGCCTAACAAAACTTCTGATATGTAGACAAATATGGTAAAACACTATTAATGTAAGCTTTACACAAATAATGTTTACGCTAATGTTTATGAGTATTTTGAATAGAATTTTAAATAGTGTAAAATCGCGCTTAAAAATATCACCATTTAGTCCATTTAAACAGAGTTTCGCCAAAGTCAAAGATCCAATTTACTTTTGTCTTTTATTTACTCAGCATGTTTGTGTTAGATTTAAAAAAAAATTAAACTGTCCTGTACGTTTCTTTGAGTCAGAACTAACTTGTTTAGAGTTAATTTATGGCCATAGAGTCTTGTAACCTAAGTGAGTTTTGTGAAGTGTAATAATAAATAAACTTGTCTTTTTTTTCTCTTTTTTTTTTTTAACTACTACTACTTTACTATAGTCAGTTTAGTTTGATATATATAGCCTACATTGTCTAGTATAGCCTACTTTGTTGGCTCTGTGCACTCTTCTCTAATGTAAGAAAGTAATCTTGTGTAAGTCTAAAGTGATGTAGGCACTTCGGTATCGCCGGAAACACCTGAAAAATGGGTATCGTAATTTTGTTGTTAAAATGGCGACCTCCATTGATTAATTTACTGAAAGTGTTGTTGCTTCACCTTTTATAGTCGATTTTTAGCATAATAATAAATTCTGCATCGACCTATTGCTTTAAGCTTGTGATATTGAGAATTTATTAGATTTTTTTTTCGAGATTAAATCTTTGAAAATTGAAGTTGAATATAGGAAAAATTAACTGATCAATAACTTTTTTTTTAAAATAAAGGTTTCTTTAATTTATATGGTCTTTTATAAAATATCCAAAATTCATGAGTGTAGGCCAAAGGCAGGCGTCAAAAATGAAAATCAAAGTGGTTTCTTTTTTATGCTATGTAATTTTTCATCATGGCCACTATGTTTGTCTGCATATTACTATTACCAATTATCCATAATGGCCGTGGGTTAGTTAATAATTCATTCAATTAGTTATCCAGGATATAAATGGGAAATTTAACTAATCATGAATCATTTTTTAAATAATTAAAAAATGTTTTATAACATAAATAATTATTATTGGTTTATGAAATATCAGTGGTTTTAATTTTGGGGTTGGTTGCCATGGATATGAGATTGATAACCACTTGACCTGTCTTTGACTTAGACTTAGATAGTATTACTATAATAATGCGGCTCGCATAGTTCTCCGCAAACGCAAGGTCGAGCATGCAAAAACACTTCTGAGAGAGTTGCACTGGCTGCCGGTGCGTGCTCACATAGATTACAAAATCGCAACTTTGTGCTACCGCTGCTTACATGACCTGGCGCCATCCTATCTGAAAGAGCTGCTGACGTTTTATGTACCCACTAGAGAGCTCCGCTCATCCGATAGTGGCAAACTCTCGACACCACGTGTTTGCCTTGAGACTTACGGAAAGCGCACTTTCGCATTTGCTGGTCCAACAGTTTGGAACGCCCTTCCTGTCGATCTCAGAAACAACCAGACACTGAAGTCCTTTAAAACCGATTTAAAGACACATCTATTTCGCAAACACCTTCTGGGATGATTGTCTACATTATTTTCCAGTTAATGTATAATGGCTGTGTTGCTTAGGGTTGAAATGGCTAGAAAGACTTTGACATTGTATGCTTGTAATTAGTTTTTGTAGTGTTGCGTTTGTTTTAAATGTGGTAAATTTAGATTTGTTGTTTGTTGACTTTGTACCACGCTTCGAGCCTTTGGGGATGAAGCGTGTTTTTAAAATGAACATGAACTTTATTATTATTATTATTATTATTACTATTATTAATATAATAAACCTATTATAAATGATTTGGGGAGTAGGATAAATAGTTTTTATTACAACTAATATATTATAAGTTTATATATGTATATAAATATATATGTGTTTGTGTGTGTCCTATAGGCGTAGTGTAGTATATAGTATAGGTCTAGCCCTAACCGAACTTATTATTTGTAGGGCATATTTTAATAAATGTATGCAATGATATTTTAGTCTATGTATTCATATTTTAATGAATATTATGATTCTTAAGGGTTCTTTTGAGGCTTAAAATAAGTAAAAATTGAAAAAAATATTCACTTACCTGTGGTATTGAAATATTCTATATTTTATCACATACCACAATATTTCACAAGAGAATTATTATATAATCTTCAGTAATCTTGAAGAATAAACACACTTTCTGCCCTAACTCTTTTGCTGTGTAAATTTTGTATTAAAAAAATGTACATTTTTTTTAGAAAAGCCAACAAAAAATTAGAGATTTGGTTTATTTAAAAAATATTTAAAATATTATTTTTTGGTTTATAAGACTAAACTTGGTGTCAAATGAAAGATAATTGAAAGGACTATATGTTTTTGGAACCTATTTCTTCAGTTAAAATACAAGTTACAGAAAAGAACCATAAAATGTGAAATCATTATATGTTAAACCATTTTCCCCCCAAATCCTATGATGTAGGCATACCTCATCTTCACTTCTATAACTCAAATCCTCTAAAACTACTACTATCAAAATCTGATGGATCTAAATATAAATCATCTTCACTATCAAAAGAAATAGTATAAAACAATTCCAAACCTTTTTGAGCTATTAATTGTCTAGGAAACTTATTCTCACCTACTAGGGCCTATAGTAGCCATAGCAACACTAGAAAAAAATAGCGAAGAAAATCATTAAAATAATGCTTTAAATCACAACAAATAAACCTCGGTTTCGCTTATAAACAATGAAGTACCACTCTTCTATGTTAAAGTCTTATTTAAAAATAGCTCTTAAATAGTTTAACCGAGAAATAGCAAAGAAATAAACATGATATTGAAACAACGTAGAGCGCGTTGGTCTGTGCCTTTGAGAACGGCGATGAACGCAGTGTGCGTTGTTCTACAGGGAAAGAGTTAATAATCTAAGAATTACATAAGATATTACTAAAGAACAATCATAAAAACTTGTTCTTACCTCAAGCAAATGACTAGAACTTATTTTAATTTCTATCAACTGTTGATGTTAACAATACATTTAGATTTTAGAAACATGATAACTATCTTAAAATAAATGACATACTATTTCTTATGTCATATTCATATGGTATTAAAATACATAATATGTAAAAAAAATGGTAAAATAAAAGTATAATCATCAATTTTCACCAAATGAATCAAATAATATCTGTATTATTTGTTTATACTTACAAATATTAAGCAATTCCACAGAAATATGAAATTAATATCTAAAGAATATTATTATTATTATTATTTTCGGGAAATTTTTAAAAATATCTTTCTAAAAATTTAATTAAATAAATACAAGTGAGTGCTGAGTCAGTATATTTTATACATTTTTTAATAGGAAAATTATAGACATTAAATTTTTACAATTTGTTAATTTGGAATATTAACAATCATTAAATTTAAAATCTGTGTTTTATTTAGTAAAACTTATATCTAACTATATTCCCTGTATATTTTATATTTTTATCACATTTTATAATAAATTTATAGGCGCAAAAGCATAATTCGTGTCTCAAAGTGTGGAGGAAAACTCTATAGTAAAAAGTGTTTTTTGAGGTCCTTACTAAAAAATTTATAACTTTTGAACCACTTCAGCTCGAAAGTTGATCTTGGTGTTTTTGTAATTCATTCTCTTTGCTCTATACAACAGTGGAAATTTTTTATAATTTTAAATTTTTTTTACCGGAGTTGCTTAAAAAAAGAGTGTACATTTCTGTGACTAAAATCACAAACTATTTTCTAAAGGCAATAAGCTTGCAAATATTTTATTATAAGTATTTACTTTTACAGAAAATTTAAATATTTTTCTATTTGGGGATGTTACTTGTTAGGAGGTTACAGGCTAATAGATTCTCGCACCTTGAGATAGTAGGGATTGTTTCTGTCCATAACATTATTTTTCAGGCCTTCTAGACTTTGTATGATCATTTTGGGGTTAACGAGGAAGTTCCTAATTGACCGGAAATAAGAGGGAGGGATGGTTAGTAAATGGCATTCCTGGACGACCTATGGAGATAGAGGATTGTATATAATATAGAGTCATCATGACACATACACTAGAGTTGACGCGGCCATCTAAAGTGAAAGATGTATTGGTACTGGTCATAGTCAAAGATAGACATAGAGATTGACAGTTAGCCAAGTGTTAAAGTTAGGAAAGAGCCACTACTGATTTTGTTGCACTATATTCATCAATACACCTTTTCTTTATCATTGTTGCTGAAGAGTCGTTTTATGATTTATTTGTGTCCCATGTATTTTTCGATGTAATCGTCAATGCCTGGACCGTCACGGAGAGGAGCGCCAAACGGCCATGTTTTACTCACAATAACAATACCACTTGGTATGTGACCATAAGTACAGGCCATATCCTCATACCATCTGATCTGTGACAAACGTACACTTGCTCAAAAAATTAGTCAGGACAGCGAATACACACACTGGTGTGGCAAAATCAATAATATTTATCAGTCCGTGAATTAACCCTCCAGAATTCAGAAAAGTGTTTCAGTGTAAAACTAAAGAAATGAACGAAGACTGCAATGTATCATCTCCATAACCTAAAAGAATGATGTTTTGCCCCATGGATTTGTAAAAAAGCTACACACTTGTAGTTTTATCATTGGGAAAAAAGAACTAGATTTTATTTTGAAATTCCTAATTACAGGCTTATGATATATTTTTGTTTTAAAATATATCAATTCTCTTACTATTGTCTCATTTTATTTACATTATTAGTAATCTTTACTGGTCTGCCTCTATTTTTAATGTGTACAATTTTTTAGGCAGTAATATGAGCCTCTTTTTCTCCAGTGTTAATGGTTTGGGTCATGTTATAGATGGCTAAGGATTGGTCCCTCAAGAGCCTGGATGTCATTTTTGCCAAAAATACAGTTGAAGACATTCTAGAGAATGACAAAAAGAGATGTGAGGAGATTGACCTCAATGTTATGTGGTATCATGGGAAAATGCAACGGCAAGTTGCGGAAAAACTCTTAATAGAAGGTTAGATGTAAATTATGATTTTTTTACCCAAGCTAGGATTGTTAGAGTAATAATGATCACTAAAATATACAAAAGGTAAGGTAAGTATCTCCCGAGGAAACTTTTCCCCGAGGGATATCAAAGAATCTGTCTGAATTTGTCATTGGTTTGACAAAGTCTAGAATAAGTCAAGGATTTAAAATTTAAAAATTATTTTGACTGACCCGAGCTATTTTCCATCACCCATGAGTGTAACCTCCGTCAAACTACTACATACTATTAGATGTCTATCATACTATAAATGGCCATGTCAGTTATTGTTTCAATAATCCATACAAACATTTTTTATTTTTTTTAAACATAGATATCTGTGTTTAAACAGTTAGTACGTTATAAGCATTTGAGTTGCCCTGGCAAAGAGACATCTCCAACGTGCCCGATAACGGGCTTAGGGGGGTGCTTTGGGGAGATCATTAAGAGCACTAGCTCGACGGCCGGCTGAAGCCGTTTCTTAATGTGACATTTCCGTTGTCTGAACTTTTAAGTTTCTGTCTAGTTTTGAACTGAATCAAGTTCCAATTCATGAAAATTGCAATGTTGAGACAGATTATGATCATTAGGTTCAAACTGTTTAGTTCTCTAACTTTGGTTGTTTTATTATCAATGTGAAAAGAAATGAAATGAGAATTGAAAAAAAAACTCATTTCGTTTCAGCTGAAAGTTTTGTTTTTTAATTAACTTATGTGAAGAAATGAAGACAAGGGTTGACTGTACAAGAAGACAGCAGGTACAAAGCTAAACCAATATTATTAAACCCTATGTTAGATATCCTATCCACAATCAGCACCCACATCCCTCCTCCCATGTCCCTCAACAATAAGACATGCCATTAAATGGGATTTTTGAGTGAAACAGCATGAGGTTTTAACAGATAGAGCAAGCCTCTGTCTCAAACTCATTTCAACAAATCGTTGCACTGGCTTATTATTGTATTCACAGAAAAATATTTTTATTTTTTTTCTAATAATTGAGTACCCTCTTATGGTACTTGAATTCTTTGACTGTTTCAATTTAGGATATTCCAATAATGACATTGTCTCTGTGGCAAGTTGTTTTTTAGTGGGTCTGAGTCTGACAAACAAAAAATGCAATCATAATAGATTTAGGCCCTTCAAGGTTGAATGCGTTACCTTTCTATCTTTCCTTTTGACCCAGCCATGCAGAGAATGCCTGAATTAGATTCAGACGGTTTGTTCTTGGTGAGAGACAGCACAGCTTCTGATGTAGACTTCTCCTTGTCTTTCCTCTATGAGAAGAAATGCTACCATTTCTACATTGAGCGTCAGAAAGAGGGCTTCTTCTTCATCGAAGGCGGACCTGTAGTCCACGGTATGTCTTACTTACCATTGCTGATATATAGCTTTTCAATTTGGGGCAGAGGTTAGGGAGCAGAGTTGCCATTCTAGGAGGAAAAAATGATGTAGAATTGACAATCTATTTTAAAAAAAATTTAATTAATGATTGACATAACCTGCCATTATTTTATCTTTACTGTGTCATTGGATGTCGATAAAAAAAAAATAAATAAAAGTCTAAAAAGGAAGGGATTATATGTAGATATAAATAATTATGACATGTTTTGTGTCTCTTAGAAAGGCTCGTGATTTGGTTCACATGAATAAGAAATGTATTGTGTCTACAGGGAAGTAAATTTCATGGTTACCTACAATGACTTTCAATGCACGTAGATAAGAGCTCTCTTGTTCAATGAACATAATCATTGTACTTCCTGTTTCAAAACTACACAATGCTGCTGTTGATAATTAGCAACTTTGTTTTTGTGTGGGACTTGGAAATTTGAGATCTTGAGAGAGAAAAAAAAGGCTTTGTACATTGAACTGCATCAGAGTTCCAGAAAAAAGATTAATGATATTTTAATTTTTTTTGAACTTGAATTCTTAGTTGATCCCATCTGCTGATGCCTGTTGAGCATTTCATTATAAGTCGATAGCATAGGTTAATTCTATACAGGTCACCCTTTCACTTCATGTAATAGTAATTTAATGTTTGTAAAGAAAGCTACCTACCAATACCAAATTATAATAGAGCACCAACCATATTAACATTACTGGTTCAGGCACAAGCTAAAATAATTTTATTCTGTCTCTTGCCGGTTTATTGTTTATTGATGTCTTCTCTGTGATACTGTCCCTTGCCAGTGTTTTTGTTTACTGTTGTCTATTTTACTATCCTTCAGGCTTATCATTCTGTCCCTTGCCAGTGTTTTCATTTACTGATGTCTATTCTACTATCCTTCAGGCCTATCATTCTGTCCCTTGCCAGTGTTTTTGTTTACTGTTGTCTATTCTACTATCCTTCAGGCCTATCATTCTGTCCCTTGCCAGTATTTTTTTGTTTACTGTTGTCTATTCTACTATCCTTCAGGCCTATCATTCTGTCCCTTGCCAGTATTTTTTTGTTTACTGGTGTCTATTCTACTATCCTTCAGGCCTATCATTCTGTCCCTTGCCAGTATTTTTTTGTTTACTGGTGTCTATTCTACTATCCTTCAGGCCTATCATTCTGTCCCTTGCCAGTATTTTTTTGTTTACTGGTGTCTATTCTACTATCCTTCAGGCTTATTATTCTTTCCTTTGCCAGTGTTTTCATTTACTGATGTCTATTCTACTATCCTTCAGGCTTATCATTCTGTCCCTTGCCAGTATTTTTGTTTACTGATGTCTATTCTACTATCCCGCAGGCTTAGAGAAGCTGATTGAGCACTACATTGAAGCCCCAGATCGTTTACCGACCCGCCTCAGCAAACTTTGTAAAGGAACACTTCCCCCGCCCAAAGTCCGCAAAGACGGGCCAACCAACATTCTCCACAAGGCTATTTTAGAAAGTAAAAGTCAAATCATGCGATCGTCAGTCTCGTCTGTCTATCCAACCTGCATCATATCAAACATTAATAAAACTATTTTATTTGTCCTGTAGAAAGAAACAAGTAGCACACCTCTATTTCATCAGTTGTCAAATTCATATGTCTTAAACCTTCTTTATTTTTGTACTAAAAATTCTTTCAATGGCTTTTTTTGTTTTTTTCATTTGGCAGAAAGAGAAGATCTTGCTAAAAAAATTATTAATCACCCACTGCGGCCTGATTTGGATGCTAAGAATTCTAACGGTTTGTATTTTGCTTTTGGCTAAAAATTCCGTTTTTTTTTGTTTTTTTTTTTGTTGTGGCTAAAAATTTGAACTTACCTCATTTAATGTGATAAACACATTTTTTATTTAAAAACATTAAAAATTTTATTTGACACTAAATGGGATTTAATTGTTAACTTCCTCAAGAGATTTAATGTTTAACTTCCTCAAGGGATTTAACAGTTAACTTTGTCAAGGGATTTAATAGTTAAATTCCTCAAGAGATTTAATAGTTAACTTCCTCAAGGACTTCAATAGTTAACTTCCTAAGGGATTTAATAGTTAACTTCCTCAATGGATTTAATAGTTAACATCCCCAGGAGATTTAATCGTGAACTTCCTCAATGGAATTAAATTCTTTACAACTGTGACTCTGCAGGCTCCACAGCTCTACACGATGCTGCCTTTATGGGACTGGACCAGACGGTCAGGTTACTCCTGCGCTTTGGTGCCAACATCAAAATCAAGAACAGAGAGGGCGCCACACCACTTCATGTGAGTCAGATAGTGAGGAAATGTCATTTGAGTCAGATAGTGATTTAAGACACTTATGTGAGTCAGATATTGATGAAATGTCATGTGAGTCAGATAGTGATTTAAGTCATGTCATGTAGAGACTGAACCAAAGTGATTTTTCTGATTTCGGCCAAAACTCAAACTGGGCCAAAAGTTAAAAATGACCTTTGGCAGAAATTGGAGCCCAAACCAAAAGCTAAAAGTGACTTTCAGCCAAAGCCGGAACCGAAATATTTGGATATTTGCAAAATAAGTCGCAAAAATTATAAAAGTAAACAGGTCTGCAGAAGGCCGACTACATAATTATTATACAAACCGGTGAAACATGCACACGTGTGTTATTACATCAATAACAATTTTTATGAGCATGATAATGATGACTTTCAAGAAATGAATGAATTAAAAAAGCCTAGGTTTGATAAATTTAAAAAAATAAATAAATAAAATAATAATGCAAATATTTCCATTCCCTAGGATTATGCAATTTTACTTCCTTTGCCTATGACAACATTGATGAGCGTGATAATGATAAATCAAAATGATTATCACAAATGAAAGAATTGATTTAACTATGGTTCCAAATTTTATTATTGAATGATTGAATCTAAAATAATGATATATTTATTTTACCTTTCCTTTAATTTTTCTTTCACAAAACTGTTTACATTTGCTAAGGCTTAATTGAAATTTAATCTTTTGGAAGTATAGGACAAGTAAGTCATCAAACAGCTGTGAGCAGTTTTAGCAGAGTATGAATCATATAACATACGATGACAGCAAGACGTCGAGCTATAATGAATACTAGATTGCCGGCCTAGAGACAGACAGGCGGTCTGACTTCTGGTAGATGACCGAAAACCTCAGTCACTTTCGGCCAGATGGTCGAAAGTCTCAATCACTTTTGGCCAAAACCGAAATTAAACCGAAATTTAACTTTTCAGTTTTGGCCAAAAACGAAATTAAATCAAAAGTAAACTTTTCTTGTATCACCTGAAACCAAAACTAGACCAAAAGTGATCAAATAACAACTTTCGATGACGAAACTGAAGCCGAAATTCAGTCGGTCTCTAATGTCATGTGATTCAGATAGTGATTTAAGGCACTGATGTAAATAGGACAGCTTTTAGAGTCTTCATTTAAATTGGATAAATTGGATAGTGCTTGTACACTTCATGTACATGCTTGTACACTTCATGTACATGCTTGTACACTTCATGTACATGATTGTACACTTCATGTACATGCTTGTACACTTCATGTACATGCTTGTACACTTCATGTACATGCTTGTACACTTCATGTACAGTAAATTAGAATATTTTTAACACATAAGGGTCAAGTGGTCAGATACGTAGAACCTGGTTGTTATTTTTATATGACCAAAGTAGTGCAAATACTTCTGGCTGATTATGGACTGGAAGAACAACATTTTTATCGTTTATTCTGCAATCTTATTAAATCCTAAAGCTACTTTTTATATTGACTTAAAATTAATTTGGATCGTTTTGAAAATTCTGATGAATGTAGATTTAGGTAGGACATTGATATGCTTTATATGTTGGTCAAGGATTTTATACACTTCATTTAAATGCAAATTCTTTTAGACACAATGTCAATAAGGTAGTATTAAATGTGTTTATTAAATTTGGATAGTATGCTAAGACACTATATGTAAATTAGGTGTTTAAATACTTAATGTGAGTTGGATAGTGCTTGGGGCTTTTACAGTAACCTGAATAGTGATTAGAAACTTTATTTAAATTTTAGTGATTAGACACTTTATGTAATGGAAATAGTGTTTAGACGTAAAACTGGTAAGTGGGTTTGTCCTTCTCACCTGACATACCAACATCGTACACTTCAGAAAGCCTGTGAGGCCAACCAACACAAGGTGGCTGTACTGCTCATCAACCAAGATAGCACATGCATGCAGGAAAGAAATCCCCTGGACAGTTGGGTCCCCTTGCATACAGCTGCTGTCCATGGTCACACGGAGTGTGCAAATGTAAGTGAATTGTTAACAGTTGACACTGTGCAATAAAGCTTTAAAAATTTTATAATGAAGCTAATCCATAGATAAAAATATAGTGATCAAAATTGTATTTCTGTCTCCAATGTTTCTATCTATTATTTGATCACTGATTTAATAAGTTTTGCCTATTTTAATCTTTGTCTAGATTCTCTTAAGTGCTGGTGCTGCCCTCTACCCCAGGGATCAGACTGAGGCAACTCCTATCCAGTTGGCAGAGCAGTATAGGAGAGGGGATTGTGTAGAGTTGTTAGGTAGGTGTGGGGAAGGGATTGTGTGGAGTTGTTAGGTAGGTGTGGGGAAGGGATTGTGTAGAGTTGTTAGGTAGGTGTGGGGAAGGGATTGTGTGGAGTTGTTATGTAGGTGTGGGGAAGGGATTGTGTGCAGTTGTTAGGTAGGTGTGGGGAAGGGACTGTGTGGAGTTGTTAGGTGGGTGTGGGGAAGGCACTGTGTGGAGTTTTTAGGTAGGTGTGGGGTAGGGACTGTGTGGAGTTGTTAGGTAGGTATGGGGAAGGGACTGTGTGGAGTTGTTAGGTAGGTGTGGGGTAGGGATTGTGTGGAGTTGTTAGGTAGGTGTGGGGAAGGGATTGTGTGGAGTTGTTAGGTAGGTGTGGGGAAGGGACTGTGTTGAGTTGTTAGGTAGGTGTGGGGAAGGGACTGTGTGGAGTTGTTAGGTAGGTGTGGGGAAGGGACTGTGTGGAGTTGTTAGGTAGGTGTGGGGAAGGGACTGTGTTGAGTTGTTAGGTAGGTGTGGGGTAGGGACTGTGTGGAGTTGTTAGGTAGGTGTGGAGAAGGGACTGTGTGGAGTTGTTAGGTAGGTGTGGGTTGGGACTGTGTGGAGTTGTTAGGTAGGTGTGGGGTAGGGACTGTGTGGAGTTGTTAGGTAGGTGTGGGGAAGGGACTGTGTGGAGTTGTTAGGTAGGTGTGGGGTAGGGACTGTGTGGAGTTTTTGTAGGTGTATGGAAAGGATTTTGTGAATCTTGGGTAAGTTGTGTAGTATGGTAGTTTGATTGTCTGGATTTGTTATGTGGATGTGGAGCAGTATATAAATGTTTGAACCCACTTCTTTTTAATTGATTTTCTACAAAGTTTAACAATCCCTTTGCAGATGTGGTCAATTTGAAATTTTCAATTCAAAAGAAAGTAAATGATAATGACAATTGTTAATTTCCCATGAATGATAATGACAATTGTTAATTTCCCATGAATGATAATGACAACTGTTAATTTCCTACCAACAGCCAATTTTAAAGAACTTCCAGTAGATACGCACAGATCTGATTGGTTTCATCCCGAGTTGGACCGCCAGGTAACACATCAATTTATATCTTTTGTTGGTGCCTGAATCTATGTTAATATTCATTAGTATCTCATTGGTGGTCAATGTTCTCTTAAAAGCTGTATGGTCCAGGGTAGAGACTGACCCAAAGTGATTTTCTGATTTCGGCCGAAGCCGAAAATAGGCCGAAAGTTTAAAATGACTTTCGGCCAAAACCGAAAAAATTCCGAAAGTTTAAAAATGACTTTCGGCGGAAACCGAAAAAATACCGAAAGTTAAAAATGAATTTTGGCCGAAAATGAAATATTAAGATATTTTGAAATTCATTCCCGCATACATTCTGCATACATCGAAAATGATGTGGGAAAGTATAAATATTTACATTATTTTTATAAGAAATGAGATAATCGTGAATATTAATAAATAAACATCTAATATAAGGGTCTCAAACTCGCGGCCCGCGAGCCATTTGTGACCCATAAGACGATATTTTGCGGCCCGCTACATGACAGAAAAGTTTAGTGTAAATGCGCCGGCGCGTTTCCCCCCATTCTCATATCTATAACGTGACTCTCCGCGACGGTTTCAGTCAAATCTCTCCGACTAGTCTAATTCTGATTTTTTTTTTTTTTTATATTTCTATATATTTTTGTATGCCAGGTCTCTGGCAACAGTGAGTAGTTCTTGAGAACTCTTAATGATTTTATTGCTATTTATAAAGGTTGAGCAGATTGTAACAGTTGTAATCGCTTTTTTGTGGATTACTTGATGCGGCCCACTCTCATTCAGACACTACCTCCTGTGCCCCCCCCCCCTCTTCCCCCTATGATTTGAGTTTGAGACCCTTGATCTAAGAATACTTTGGATTTTACCATTTTAATATAAAAGTAATTTAAATTGCTTTACAATTTTTTTTAAAATTAGTATGGTAGGAGAAAATTGGGGAGGGAGGAAGGGAAATTAATGCAAAATATTTTTTTTTAAAACAGGGTCTCTAAAAAATGTGGTTCTTAAAGATTGCTTAATTTGTTTTTAAAGATCGTTTAATTGGTTGTTATTGATCAGTTAGTTTGTTCTTAAAGATCGTTTAGTTTGTTGTTAAAGATCGCTTAGTTTGTTGTAAAGATCGCTTAGTTTTTTCATAAGGATCGCTTAGTTTGTTCTGAAAGATAATTAATTTTGTTCCTTAAGATAGATTAGTTTGTTCTTAAAGATCTTTTAGTTTGTTCCTAAAGAACATTTAGTTTTCTGTTAAAGATCGCTTAGTTTATTCTTATAAATCATTTAGTTTACTATTAAAGATCATTTGTTTTGTTCTTAAAGATCATTTAGTTCGGTCTTAAAAATCGTTTAGTTTGTTATTAAAGATCGCTTAAATTGTTCTTAAAGATCACTTAGTTTGTTTTAAAGATCGTTTAGTTTGTTCTTAAATGATGCTTAGTTTTTTGTTAATTATCGTTTAGTTTTTTGTTAAATATCGCTTAATTTGTTCTTAAATGTCGCTTAGTTTGTTGTTAAATATCGCTTTCGCTGAGTATTAGATGACCGAAAACCTGAGTCACTTTCGGCTGGCCGAAAGTCTAAGTCAATTTCGGCCAAAACCAAAGAAATTAAGCCGAAAGTTAACTTTTCAGTTTCGGCTGAAACCGAAACTTGGCCGAAAGTGATAAAATGGCCACTTTCGGCGCCGAAACCGAAGCCGAAGCCGAAATTCGGTCGGTCTCTAGTCCAGGGTGAACCAAACCTCTCTATGCCCTGTACCCCAAGGAAACTGTCAATTAACTTTATAAGATAAAAAGGCAGTCTTTTTATTTGTCACACCCACTTAAAATAAAATCTTACACAACCATCTTATACACTCATCTTACATATCCTACTTAAACACCCTACTTACATACCCTACTTACACAACCATCTTACACACTAATCTTACACATATTACTTACAAACCCATCTTACACACTGCAGGTCACAGCCCCTGGGTGAGTCATAAATGCAGTAAAAAAAACCACCAAAAGTTATTCTTTCAGGGAGCGGAGAATGTCTTCAACAGCCAACAAATGACCAGTGGCCTCTTCCTCATCCGACCCAACAAAAACCTAGAGGGCCAGCATGTGTTGAGCCTGGTCAGAGATCGAAGTATCTTCCACTACGAAATTAAAACCAAGGTGAGACCAATGGAGGCGGTGACAAACATAGGCGGTGACCAACTTAGGCGGTGACCAACATAGGCTGTGACCAACTTAGGCAGTGACCAACGTAGGCGGTGACCAACTTAGGCGGTGACCAACTTAGGTGGTGACCAACATAGGCAGTGACCAACTTAGGCGGTGACCAACTTAGGCGGTGACCAACATAGGCTGTGACCAACTTAGGCGGTGACCAACATAGGCGGTGACCAACATAGGCGATGACCAACATAGGCGGTGACCAACATAGGCGGTGACCAACTTAGGCGGTGACCAACATAGGCGGTGACCAACTTAGGCGGTGACCAACTTAGGCGGTGACCAACATAGGCGGTGACCAACTTAGGCGGTGACCAACATAGGCAGTGACCAACATAGGCGGTGACCAACTTAGGCGGTGACCAACATAGGCGGTGACCAACTTAGGCGGTGACCAACTTAGGCGGTGACCAACTTAGGCGGTGACCAACTTAGGCGGTGACCAACATAGGCGGTGACCAACTTAGGCGGTAACCAAAATAGGCGGTGACCAACATAGGCGGCGACTAACTTAGGGGGTTATCAACTTAGGCGGTGACCAACTTGGGCGGTGACCAACTTAGGGCTTTACCAACTCAAAAAATTCAGTTCGAGGTTTATCTATGTGACAAGGTGGTCCAAGTAAAAGATCCAAAACTTTATTCTTTTTTGCCAGGGTGTTCCTTCCTAAAGCCTGATTTTTTTGTTGTTTGTTAACACAGGCAACGAGCACGTTTTTTAAAAAAAAGTCCTTTGTATATTTTGGTCTGGGTAGTTTTTTTTGCCCTATTTTTATTTGGCATATGAGCATGCATAAAATAATTGTGCGTAAATCCATTTCTGGTAGGAATATCGCAACAACTGTGTTCATTACATTGATGATGGCCCCTTCCATCAGTCCCTCGAGCATCTCGTCCAGTATTACCATAGATTTGAAGATGGCCTTGGAGTACCCCTCAGGGCTTCAGTCTCGACAAGTCAGTACACTTTCTAAAAAACTCAGCACTTATTTAAGACAATAATTTCAAATGGTAAGGTGCTGATCAGAATGCTCTGTTTGAAAACTTGTTTGTCATGTTGACTGAGTATTTCCAGAATGCTCTGTTTGAAAACTTGTTTGTCATGTTGACTGAAAATTTCCAGAATGCTCTGTTTGAAAACTTGTTTGTCATGTTGACTGAGTACTTTCAGAATGGTCTGTTTGAAAACTTGTTTGTCGTGTTGACTGAGTACTTTCAGAATGGTCTGTTTGAAAACTTGTTTGTCGTGTTGACTGAGTACTTTCAGAATAGTCTGTTTGAAAACTTGTTTGTCGTGTTGACTGAGTACTTTCAGAATGGTCTGTTTGAAAACTTGTTTGTCGTGTTGACTGAGTACTTTCAGAATGGTCTGTTTGAAAACTTGTTTGTCGTGTTGACTGAGTACTTTCAGAATGGTCTGTTTGAAAACTTGTTTGTCGTGTTGACTGAGTACTTTCAGAATGGTCTGTTTGAAAACTTGTTTGTCGTGTTGACTGAGTACTTTCAGAATGGTCTGTTTGAAAACTTGTTTGTCGTGTTGACTGAGTACTTTCAGAATGGTCTGTTTGAAAACTTGTTTGTCGTGTTGACTGAGTACTTTCAGAATGGTCTGTTTGAAAACTTGTTTGTCGTGTTGACTGAGTACTTTCAGAATGGTCTGTTTGAAAACTTGTTTGTCGTGTTGACTGAGTACTTTCAGAATGGTCTGTTTGAAAACTTGTTTGTCGTGTTGACTGAGTACTTTCAGAATGGTCTGTTTGAAAACTTGTTTGTCGTGTTGACTGAGTACTTTCAGAATGGTCTGTTTGAAAACTTGTTTGTCGTGTTGACTGAGTACTTTCAGAATGGTCTGTTTGAAAACTTGTTTGTCGTGTTGACTGAGTACTTTCAGAATGATCTGTTTGAAAACTTGTTTGTCGTGTTGACTGAGTACTTTCAGAATGATCTGTTTGAAAACTTGTTTGTCGTGTTGACTGAGTACTTTCAGAATGATCTGTTTGAAAACTTGTTTGTCGTGTTGACTGAGTACTTTCAGAATGATCTGTTTGAAAACTTGTTTGTCGTGTTGACTGAGTACTTTCAGAATGATCTGTTTGAAAACTTGTTTGTCGTGTTGACTGAGTACTTTCAGAATGATCTGTTTGAAAACTTGTTTGTCGTGTTGACTGAGTACTTTCAGAATGATCTGTTTGAAAACTTGTTTGTCGTGTTGACTGAGTACTTTCAGAATGATCTGTTTGAAAACTTGTTTGTCGTGTTGACTGAGTACTTTCAGAATGATCTGTTTGAAAACTTGTTTGTCGTGTTGACTGAGTACTTTCAGAATGATCTGTTTGAAAACTTGTTTGTCGTGTTGACTGAGTACTTTCAGAATGATCTGTTTGAAAACTTGTTTGTCGTGTAGACTGAGTACTTTCAGAATGATCTGTTTGAAAACTTGTTTGTCGTGTTGACTGAGTACTTTCAGAATGGTCTGTTTGAAAACTTGTTTGTCGTGTTGACTGAGTACTTTCAGAATGGTCTGTTTGAAAACTTGTTTGTCGTGTTGACTGAGTACTTTCAGAATGATCTGTTTGAAAACTTGTTTGTCATGTTGACTGAGTACTTTCAGAATGATCTGTTTGAAAACTTGTTTGTTATGTTGACTGAGTACTTTCAGAATGATCTGTTTGAAAACTTGTTTGTCGTGTTGACTGAGTACTTTCAGAATGATCTGTTTGAAAACTTGTTTGTCGTGTTGACTGAGTACTTTCAGAATGGTCTGTTTGAAAACTTGTTTGTCGTGTTGACTGAGTACTTTCAGAATGGTCTGTTTGAAAACTTGTTTGTCGTGTTGACTGAGTACTTTCAGAATGATCTGTTTGAAAACTTGTTTGTCGTGTTGACTGAGTACTTTCAGAATGATCTGTTTGAAAACTTGTTTGTCATGTTGACTGAGTACTTTCAGAATGATCTGTTTGAAAACTTGTTTGTTATGTTGACTGAGTACTTTCAGAATGATCTGTTTGAAAACTTGTTTGTCATGTTGACTGAGTACTTTCAGAATGATCTGTTTGAAAACTTGTTTGTCATGTTTACTCCACTTTTCCTTTGAAGCAGCTGATTCAAGATTGTATTTAAATCATGGCATTGGAATCCTCAGCTGTTAAGATTGAAGTCTCATTGCTTGAAAAAAAACAACTGAACATATACCATTTCATACCTACCTGCATGTCTACCTTTGCATACCTACCTGCATGTCTACATTTTCTTACCTGCCTGGATGTCTACCATTTCATACCTACCTGGATGTCTGCAATTTCATACCTACCTTACTGTCTACCATTTCATACCTACCTGCATGTCTACCATTTCATACCTACCTTACTGTCTACCATTTCATACCTACCTGCATGTCTACCATTTCATACCTACCACGCTATATAAAACCACTTATAATAATAATAATGTCTACCATTTCATACCTACCTGGCTGTCTACCATTTCATACCTACTGCAGCTGCATGTAAATATTTCATGTTACAGTTACATTTCACCTGATATCTTCTTTTCACAGACAACAGAATCAAAGAGTTGAGTTTTCAGGAGACTTACAGTAATCTCACTTCTCCCAAGTCTCCCACAGTCAACCCCATGGCATCTCAGAAAGGTAAATTGTTTGTGGAGATTTGGTCTTAATTTTTGTATCTTACTCTAAACAGGTGCTGCGCCCCCTCTCCCTCTCCCCCCCAATTTATTTTTCTGGGGAAAAAGACAAAGACAAAGAAATATGTTCAAACCTTTATTAAAATATAAACACTAGATTGGGGGGAAAAAACGACAACTATTTGTGTTTTTTACAAATTAATTTACTCATTTTTTAATTATATTAAATAATTTTAAAATTTCAAAGAAACTTTACAAAATCATTAGACCTGGCAACCCTATGTACTAAGGCCTGGCAACCCTATGTACTAAGGCCTGTCAACCCTATGTACTAAGGCCTGGCAACCCTATGTACTAAGGCCTGTCAACCCTATGTACTAAGGCCTGTCAACCCTATGTACTAAGGCCTGTCAACCCTATGTACTAAGGCCTGTCAACCCTATGTACTAAGGCCTGTCAACCCTATGTACTAAGGCCTGGCAACCCTATGTACTAAGGCCTGTTAACCCTATGTACTAAGGCCTGGCAACCCTATGTACTAAGGCCCGGAAACCCTACGTACAACTTAACCACTTTTTTTGCTTTTAAATATTAATATAGTATTGATAGGATGTTACAGTTCAACATCAATATAATGACTTGAATAATGTGGGCTGCTGATTACATGTCATTGGTCCGTAAGGCACTGATATAAGTCCACATAATCACACTTCATTCATCTTACAGCTAGACATAATCTAACTGTGCCTGATCATTACCCACCAACTCTACAAACACAGTTCACTCACATATTAGCAAATCTTCACCTACACAGTTCACTCACATATTAGCAGATCTATACGAACACAGTTCACTCACATATTAGCAGATCTACACCTACACATTTGACTCACATATTAGCAGATCTACACCTACACAGTTCACTCACATATTAGCAGATCTAGACCAACACAGTTCACTCACATATTAGCAGATCTAGACCAACACAGTTCCCTCACATATTTGAGATCTTCACCTACACAGTTCACTCACATATTAGCAGATCTATACCAACACTGTTCACTCACATATTAGCAGATCTTCACCTACACAGTTCAATCACATACTAGCAGATTTTCACCAACACAGTTCACTCACATATTAGCAGATCTTCACCAACACAGTTCACTCACATATTAGCAGATCTTCACCTACACAGTTCACTCACATACTAGCAGATCTTCACCAACACAGTTCACTCACATATTAGCAGATCTTCACCTACACAGTTCACTCACATACTAGCAGATCTTCACCTACACAGTTCACTCACATATTAGCAGATCTTCACCTACACAGCTCACTCACATATTAGCAGATCTTCACCTACACAGTTCACTCACATATTAGCAGATCTACACCAACACAGTTCACTCACATATTAGCAGATCTTTACCAACACAGTTCACTCACATATTAGCAGATCTTCACCACCACAGTTCACTCACATACTAGCAGATCTTCACTTACACAGTTCACTCACATACTAGCAGATCTTTGCCAGTTTAACTTGTTAACAAGTGTTGAACATTCTTTCAGACAAATTTAAACCAAAATTACCTCCACGACCACCTGACCTGGACTCACCACCTCCAGTATCCGCTCCTTCACTACCTGTGAGTTAAGTGGATATCTCTATCCTATTGCTGTCGATTATTTTTTATTAAAATATTCCTTGTAAATATCCAGAACAAATCTCAGCTTATGACGCATGTCAACCTTTATCATTGTTGTTAATTGAATGACAATGAAATTAATACCAACAACTAATTTGCCTCCTTATAAGGTGTATATAGTTGTTTTTTGTTTTTTTTTGTTTTTTTTAGATAATTTTTGTTTTTTTTTTAAATTTCAATGCAGCATTGACGTATATGTTAAAGTTAAATTTTTCTATAAAAAAATTTAAAAGATGAAATTTATCTGCCCTCTTTACTCTTTAACTATTCCAATTTATTCATATTTGTATTGTCATATCTGAGTTTTTCAGGTTTCATTTAAACTTCACTTTCACGCAAATAATGAAATATTTTTTAAATTCTGTTCTAGATATTAACAGGATTTTGTGAAAAAGAAAATTGTTAATATTGATTATAAATTATAAAGTTGCTTGTTTAAAATAAATAATTAACATTTTTATTTGACAAATGTTCTAGATTTCTCATTTTTCAACACCTGTTATGTTAGATCATATCTTTTTTTATTATCGGAAATATATTGGACTCTTACTTCCTGACAGCCCACCCCTGCCTCAGCCACAGCACCCACTCCAACAACAGCATCCACCCCGGTGCCTGGCGGGGAAGAGGAGAAGGAAAAACTAAAAGAAATCAGCCCAAAAAATCTCAAACTGGGTACGTACTTCTCACATACTGCTCACATACTACTCATGTTCAGCTCACATACTACTCATGTACAGCTCACATACTACTCATGTACAGCTCACATACTACTCATGTACAGCTCACATACTGCTCACATACTTTTCATGTGCAGCTCACGTACTGTCCCTCTACTTTTTGTCATCGGTCATCATCAAATGGCTGAAACATTCACATAGTAAAGTTACATCTCTGTTATTGTTGTATGGTCTGTATTATTTTTATATTGATTGATTCCTGATTTAATGTTACTGCACCCATGCTTAGCAAAAAGCAAGGATTCCCTAATGAGCTATTCAAAAAACGATTAAGTTAAATATGACAGCTTGATTGATAGGTTATCCATTCTTTGTAAACAAAACTCCACACAGCCGTAATATCCTTTCCTGATGAATTCAAAAAGGAATGTTCTCCCTGTTTTACGATAGTGTCTGTTTGTCAGGTAATGAGCTCGGTAAAGGTGAATACGGCTCTGTCCTTAAAGGTGAGCTGGTGGTGGAGAAAAAACTCTTCAAGAAAGAAAAGGTGAGAATTTTTGTGGGACATGGGAGAGGTGGGTCGATGGGATGGGTCTATGGGGTGGGTCTATGTGGTGGGTCTATGGGTTTGGTCTCTGGGGTGGGTCTATGGGGTGGGTCTATGGGTGGGCCAGGTTTTATTTATTCCTTTATGTTTGATTAATTCTTTGAATCAGGTTGGTTTGTGTTGGTAATTTAAGTCAGGGTGAGTTAAGATTGACTTGGTTATTTGAGTCAGGGTGAGTTAAGATTGACTTGGTTATTTGAGTCAGGGTGAGTTAAGATTGACTTGGTTATTTAAGTCAGGGTGAGTTAAGATTGACTTGGTTATTTAAGTCAGGGTGAGTTAAGATTGACTTGGTTATTTGAGTCAGGGTGAGTTAAGATTGACTTGGTTATTTGAGTCAGGGTGAGTTAAGATTGACTTGGTTATTTGAGTCAGGGTGAGGTAAGATTGACTTGATTATTTGAGTCAGGGTGAGGTAAGATTGACTTTGTTATTTGAGTCATTTGATTCCCTCAAACTGAGGTCGGATATATGCAGTGGGCTTTGGGTCAAGAGCTTTGTTTCTTTCTCAAATCAGTAAGGTTGTACAACAGTTTTGAGTGTTTGGTTAGTGTAAATGGTTTGGTCAGTGTAAATGGTTTGGTCAGTGTAAATGGTTTTGTCCATGTAAATGGTTTGGTCCGTGTAAATGGTTTGGTCAGTGTAAATGGTTTGGTCAGTGTAAATGGTTTGGTCCGTGTAAATGGTTAGGTTTTTAAATTCATATGGCTTAAGTTTAACTAGTGGGGCTATTGTGTGCAAGGTGGTTGCCTTTTTGGCCGAAGATACAATGATGGTCGTCTACCACTGTAACACTGATTTACATTGTTTCAGATAAATGTAGCTGTCAAGACATTCCATTCCGTTGGCAATGTAGATGACTTTATGTTGGAGGCCTATGTCATGCAGTCCCTAAAAAATGACTTCATCGTCCAGCTGTTGGGGGTCTGCCAGGGCCCACCCCTCATGCTGGTATGGTTTGGAAAGAAGTTTTTTTTTTTCAAAATGGGTTTGGATTGTAGGTCGTTCAACTCTGGGAGAGTCTGGCTAGGTGAACTTTGGGGGTTGACTAGGTTAGCAACCTTCTTTGTTGGCCAACGAGGGGACATTTGAGGGTGGTCAGTATGTGATTTTTTAGGTGGCCAGCTAAGGGACATTTGAGGGTGGTCAGTATGTGATGTTTGAGGTGGCCAGCTAGGGGACATTCAGGGGTGGTCAGTATGTTATGTTTGAGATGGCCAGCGGGGGGACATTTGAGGGTGGTCAGTACATGATGTTTTAGGTGGCCAGCTAGGGGACAGTCGGGGGTGGTTAGTATGTGATGTTTGAGGTGGCCAGCTAGGTGACAGTTGGGGGTGGTTAGTATGTGATGTTTGAGGTGGCCAGCTAGATTGTCTGGGTAGGGTGACTAGATCACTTTTTGAAGCCACTACCATGAAATTATTTATCATCCCAATGGCCTCAAATAGTTACCATTTTTTTCTTCACTATAAAGAAATGATCATTATTAATACGAGCTGACTTTGGCCAGTGAGAGTTTTATTTCTTTGACAAGATTCGCTACAAAGTTCACAATGTCCTGTTTTATCCTTGAAGCGCTATTTCCAGTTTAATGATTTATTGCATATCTTTGACAATGGAAGTTTTTCTTTCCAAGGTGGAAGAGTTTGTCCCCATGGGATCCATGCTAGACTTCCTTGAGGACCACCCTGAGAAAGTCAGGGTGAAACAGGAACTGTACCTCTGGGCGGCTCAGATAGCCCAGGGAATGATGTACTTGGAGACCAAGAGGCTTGTTCACAGAGATCTGGCTGCCAGGAACATTCTTCTGTTCTCAATGCAACGAGTAAGTCAATGGTTACATTTATTGGAAGGGCGCTTCATTGCTGGTAATTTTCATTAACTTGTGGTCACGGTCAGGTATAAATGGCCTAGTGAATTTTACAGAACTTCCTGTACCGTTATGATTGTTTTAACATTTTTTATAAAATTTCTTTCCAATTTTTCAATTTTGTAAACAGTCCTTGACCTTCGTAATATAATGCTAATATGGTGAAATATGTATGCGGCCCTCCAATAGCTTTTCATATGTCAATGTGGCCCTACGCATACAAAGTTTGCCCACCCCTGGCCTGGTGGACAATTTCTCAGTTCTTTATGGCCAAATGGTCCAACTATATGGCCAAGTGGTCTACTTGACAGTTCTATATGGCAAAGTCGTTTAACTATTTTGCCTAGTTGTCACATCTGAGATCTGTATTCGATAGATGTTAAGACATATGGGTCAAATGGTCGGATATGTAGAACCCATTGGTCATTTGTAGATGACAAAAGTAGTGCAAACATCTCTGGCTGATAGGTGAGTGGAAGAGCAACATTTTTTAGCATTAATTCTTCAATCTTATTAAATCCTAAATCTTCTCAATACTTTTTTTTCTTGAAATGAAATTATATCATTTTGAAAATTCCTGTGAATATAGATTCAGGTACGCCATTATTTACATGTTGGTATAAATAATTTCTTCATCAATAATCGTAATTTTCCTCTAGGTAAAAATTAGCGATTTTGGCCTGAGCCGAGCCATGGGGACAGACAAAGAATATTATAAGGCAACCAAAGGTGGACGTTGGCCTATAAAATGGTAAGATAATGAAATTCTTTGAAGCTATAGAGACGTATTCTGTGTTGGGTGGAAAAGATAGGGGGGTGGGGGTTAAGTACAAGGCCCTTTGTCCATGTTTGTGTCATGGCCCTTTGTCCATGTTTGTGTCATGGCCCTTTGTCCATGTTTGTGTCATGGCCCTTTGTCCATGTTTATGATTTCCAAAGAGCTTAGAAAAAGATGTATACAAGTGTAAACAATTAGCATTGAGAGATATAACTGCCCTGTGGAGCAATGGTAGCAATGTAGGGCAATGGTCGCCCTGTGGTGCGATGGTAGCCCTGTGGTGCAATAGTAGCCCTATGGTGCAATTGTACCCTGTGGTGCAATGGTAGCCCTGTAGCGCCATCGTAGCCCTGTGGTGCAATGGTAGCCCTGTGGTGCAATGGTAGCCCATCTATTTCATAACCGATAGGAAGCTGGTTTAAATTTGGACATGTGAGGCACTGAACATGTTACCATTGTTCATGGGTCATCTAGGCACTGAACATGTTACCATTGTTCATGGGTCATCTAGGCACTGGACATGTTACCATTGTTCTTTGGCCATCTAGCTGCCGCAAACATGCTAACATATTCAATAGCTATAAAAACAATGATGTTGTTTGACTTGAAGGTTCTCATTTTCTCCAGGTATGCCCCTGAGAGTGTCAACTTTGGCCACTTTTCCCACGCCAGTGATGTGTGGAGCTACGGCGTCACACTGTGGGAAATGTTCTCATATGGTGGCGCACCATTTGAGGATATGACAGGAGTAGAGGTGAGATGTGAAATTTTTTTTAAACAATTTCAGGAAATGGGTAAAATTCACATAGGAGAGGTAACTGGCCCATGCAGTAGAGCATCTGGGCCATAATAGAAGGAAGCAGGTTCAAGTCTCTACAGTTGATCCAAGAAATTCAATTGTAAAAATATTTACATGGCCACTACCAGCTCCAACGTTTAAAATAGCAGCTACAATTATTTTTATATTTCACACAATTCACAGGTCATCAAGTTCATTGAAGACGGGAATCGACTGACTCGTCCAACAAAGTGCCCGCAAGTGGTCTATGAAGTCATGTTACGCTGTTGGACAAACGAGGCGGCACAGCGGCCTACTTTCTCATGGCTCAACAAACATTTTGAGGAAGAGCCTGAATACATGAGCGCCCGTGAGATAATGAGAGCCGTCCGTTCCCATTAATAATTCCTAAAATTTTACTTCCCTTTTTTTTTTTTTAAATTTTTTCTTGCAATGCAAATTACGTTTTTGCAGTCCCCTTTCTTCAGCACGTGTCGTCTGTGTTAAGTTGTAGGAAAAACTGTTTTTAATTTAATCTAGCCAGTATTCTTGGGACTTGTGTTTCGTGTTAAACCAGTCACCTCGTAAGGCACAGAGTATTAAATGTTTCATGACATTATTCTTGATAGTATTACAAGAGTCATTGACCTCATGATGTTCATCAGTAACTGGTTTGAGAAGATATTCATCAGTAACTACTTTGACATCATGATGTTCACCAGAAGTGGCTTTGACATGGTCTGAGAAGACATTTATCAGTAGCTACTTTGACCTCATGATGTTCACCAGAAGCGGCTTTGGCATGGTCTGAGAAGACATTTATCAGTAGCTGCTTTGATGTGGACTGAGATGACACTTAGATATACCAATTTTCATAAGAAATGTTGCAGGTTAGGTTTAGACAAGACAGAGACAAAATTAAATTAGCAGTTTGTGAAGAAAAAAAAAATCCAAAGAAATGGCCTGCATAGATGCACCAATATATTTGATTGTCTAGAATCACCTGTCCATTCATTTTGAGGCTTTTTATGTGTGGCATAAAAACCAGAATGTGCCATGACTTTAACTTTATAATGAGGCACAGTCAATTTAAAAGTAGTTACAATTTTTAAAAATCTCCTTCACATAACGGTATCCACCAAAGGTATAAAATAATCAATGTTAAGTTTTTAATTGTTCTTGGCAGCCATGTGACACCCTACTATAAACCATGAGGATTCCTTTAACATTATTCCTTCTGCTCTAAATCTCCAAATGGTGTATCAAAATTTTTTTGCATGGTAAGTAAACTCCTGTATGTCCACCCCCCCCCCCTCTTTTCCCTGTTCCACTCTTCCTCCCCCACTAACAGAATCCAATGGCCTTTTTACAAGACCAATATCTTATCTTCACATATACTAAATCTCCAAATGGTGTATCAAAATTTTTTTGCATGGTAAGTAAACTCCTGTATGTCCACACCCCCCCCCCTCTTTTCCCTGTTCCACTCTTCCTCCCCCACTAACAGAATCCAATGGCCTTTTTACAAGACCAATATCTTATCTTCACATATTTATTAGAATGTTATTGTCATGTGTATTCCTTTGTAAGGATAAATGTATTTTTTGTTCTTACCCTTGATATATACACATTGGATTAGTTACATAAATTGGTTTCTTTGTTTCATTTTTTTTTGAAAATTTCAAAGTACCTTTGGTTCACACAAAACGGAATGCTGATTCAATTCATATAATTTAAACTATTATTATTATTTTTATTATTTTTCTTATTAATACTAATATTCATATATTTATTGGTATTGTATACAAATTATATGGCAGCTGGCCTGTCATCTCAAAATTATTTTTAATTTATTATAACTCAAATATTATATTAAATTTTTTTTCATATATTAAATATTTGGTGTTTTTTTAAAGGTTTGATGACCTTTGACCTTCTGGAAGTTAAGAACATTTTTTGACAGTCCTTGACAGTGACTTAGAGTTAATGCTGCCATTTACAATCAGCTCCCAAGAAATGATAAGGTCTTCTGCCGTTTAGTGCAAAATACATGAAAACATCCCATTTCATAGATGGTTTTAGAAATGGAATTTTTTAGGCAAATAATCAGTACTTGTTTTTCATTGACCAGAATTGATTTTTTTTTTTTTTTTTACTTTGGACTAGGGTCCCAATTAGCAACAGTTTTGGGAACCCCTGGTTGAAGCATTATTTTAAGAGTTTCCAAATGCCTCACAAGTTTTAAAAATGGAATTTTTTAGGCAAATAATCAGTACTTGTTTTTCATTGACCAGAATTGATTTTTTTTTTTTTTTTACTTTGGACTAGGGTCCCAATTAGCAACAGTTTTGGGAACCCCTGGTTGAAGCATTATTTTAAGAGTTTCCAAATGCCTCACAGAAATGTCAGACATTCTCTGAAAACGTGATTTTGTTCTTGTCTTTTGGTCTTCTTATCCATGGCGGATTGGTTGACTGGGTTTCTTGATTAAAGATTCTGTATGAAAGTTTGGATGTAACTTTGAGATGAAATGTCCACAATCCATCAGATATGTTTTCAGTTTTTCACTTTGGTTTGAGAACCACTCAGCACTTGGTATATTTCCATGTACCAAATATAACCATGACCTAGAATTGATCCAAGTACTACACAGTGCGCTCACTTGGTTAGATGTTAACAACACATATGTTCGAGTTCAATGCTTGTTTTCCTCCATATTTATGGCTGCATACAATGTAATGTTTTAATAGAACAGCACTAGCAGTTTTTATTTTCACTCAGTGTACCTTCTAAAAAATTTAAAGGACCCATGTTAACATACAACCACCGCTGAAACATTCTGGTCCAGTTTAGGGATGTTAAATATGAATTTTTTGTCAACCAGAGCGTAGAAAAGTTCACTAAAATATATTGTTGCAGATAGTCAGAATATTATTGGATTGATAAAGAAATGTAAACGCCATTTTCTTTTTTATACCGTTAGGGAATGCATGCAGATCAAAATTTAATTAAAATACCTCTCCCCTACCCCAACTGTAGTTTTATCAACCCAGCTCACCACTAAAGACAGAATGATGGTCTAACATCTGCACAATGTCAACAATGTCATGCATTTGTCCCAATATTGCACAGAACCAAAAAATTCCATGAATTTACATATATAATGAGAATACATTGTTGTTGGTTTTTCCAGAACTGCCCTTCTCCCCACCCTTCACCACCCCCACCACCCCCACCCCCGGCCTCTCCCCCATTATTATCTCAGATTTCCTGACAACTTGCATGGCAATATTTCTGGATGCTCAGGCTCGAACAACCGAACATTAATTAATGGACCACAAATGCCATAAATGTTTGTGCCATATTTGTATTTTCCTCTCCATCTCTACCTTTTAATATATTATTATTATTGTTTGAATTTGATGAAGTTACTGAATCGATTTTTTTAAATTTATTTTATCAATTATTGAATTTTTTCCACACAAAAAAAGTGTAATATAAAGAAGAAGACACTAGTTAAGTGTTTTGTATCAAACCAGCCCTCAGATCACATTGTAAAGTACTTTAGAAAAAGGAAAAGGAATTCATTTTCTCGTATGCCTTCTTCTCTCTCTCAGCTAATCTCATTCATAATCTTTCATTCTTCATTGTTTGGTTAAGCCACTTATCATGCATGTGATTCAGTTGCTTTGCACTGACCTCTTGGTGTGTTGGGAAGTTTTGCCATGCTTATAAACTATGGTATTGTTGATGCTGTTTACAAAATAGTTTGTGTTATAAAGTAAGAATTATTGTAAATTAAAAGATATTAAAAAGTACTTGAAGTTTTGAAGCTTTACATGTTGAATTTATCACAACTGATTGTGGGTGAATGCAAATATGGACATCTAAGGGGTGGGGTATGTAATGATTTGCATGTTGAATTTATCACAACTGATTGTGGGTGAATGCAAATATGGACATCTAAGGGGTGGGGTATGTAATGATTTGCATGTTGAATTTATCACAACTGATTGTGAGTGAATGCAAGTATGGACATCTAAGGGGTGGGGTATGTAATGATTTGCATGTTGAATTTATCACAACTGATTGTGGGTGAATGCAAGTATGGACATTGTGGAAGAAAGTTGGACTATATTCTTCTACTTATTGCTGAGCTGTGCTATACATGTGTTTGATTCACTTTACAGCCTGATAGATATGTTTCTGGATTAAAGTTTACTTGCCTATTGGAACAGTTCTTGTGTTCAGTTCAGTGTGATTGCGATGCATGAACGTGTAAAAGAAACTAATGAAAGAATCCAATAATTATTAATGAAAGAATCCAATCATCCATGGATCTTGACAATGTCCATTTTAGTGAGTTGATACAGCCGAAGTGTATTTGATTAAGTTGACATGATTATAAAACTGAACGAACGATTAGAGATGATGAGTTTGTTTAGATGAGTTTGTTTAGATGAGTTTGTTTAGATACTGTGTAAAAAAATGAACTTGACATTTTTTAAATTTGTAAATATTTTCTCCGACCACCATATTTCATCAAACCAACATATTTTCTGAGACTAGCTTGATCACCCAATTTCCTCCCACCACCATATTTCCGCTGACCATCATAGTTCATCTGACCATCAGATTTCCTCTGACCACCATATTTCCTCCAGCACCATATGTCATCAGACCACCATATTTCGTCTGACCACCATTTATCCTCCAAACACTATATTTCCTTAAACCACCATATTACATCAGACCACCATATTTCCTCTGACCACCATATTTCCTCTGACCACCATATTTCCTCTGACCACCATATTTCCCTCTAAGGAAAATCTTTTTTTTGTGCTAAATTTTCTTATTTGGCTCAAGAAGCACAAGAGGCAAAAGATTAAAGATATCCCTGTAGCAACTTGAGAAGCAAGGATATCCGTGTAGCAACTTGAGAAGATGGGATATGTGTAGCTACATGAGAAGCAAGGATATAAGTGTAGCCACTTGAGAAGATGGGATATGTGTAGCCACATGAGAAGCAAGGATATCCGTGTAGCCACTTGAGAAGCAAGGATATCCGTGTAGCCACTTTAAAAATCATTTTCAAGTCCAGGAAAATAACCCCACATTTTAACAAAAAATTAAATTATCTTTTCTAAGACTGAAGAGTTCACCTTATACTTAAATCATTTTTCCATACTGGAGATTGACCGATTCGAAACGAATCCTTTTGTTTCCATTTATTAGTAGAAGGTTTTTCAAACTATATTTAGACTGTCGAGGAAATGAAGCCACACACTTGGGTTGTATTCTGAGAGACGAATGTTCTTCTGAGAGACCAATGTTCCTCTGAGACACCAATGTTCTTCTGAGAGACCAATGTTGTTTTGAGAGACAAATGTTCTTCTGAGAGAATGTTCGTCTGAGAGACCAATGTTCTTCTGAGACACCAATGTTTTCTAAGAGACCAATGTTTTTCTGAGAGACGAATGTTCTTCTGAGAGACCAATGTTCTTCTGAGACACAATGTTTTTCTGAGACACCAATATTCTTCTTAGAGACCAATGTTCTTATGAGAGACCATATTCTTCTGAGAGACCAATATTCTTCTGAGACACAATGTTTTTTTTTGAGACAACAATATTCTTCTGAGAGACCAATGTTCGTCTGAGACACAAATTTTTTTCTGAGAGACCGATGTTCTGCCAAACGTTTCTGATGCGACTTACGTTTTGGTAAAGCTGACAGGTCATCGTTCTCTCCTTCCATAGGAACTGAATGTTTGCTCCAAGCTGAAGTTCATCCTTTTTTCTTCAGACTGGAGGTAAGGATACGTTGACTGGAGCAAATGATCTATACGAGTGTTGCAGTTTTGCGTACCATAATGTTGAGATCAAAGAATGTCTTGAGCTCCAAGCTTGGTGCTGAATAACATATGCATGATGAATTTTTTTTTTTAAACTCAGATTTCTGCATATGTTGAAATAAAATATATGTATAGCCGTTTTTTTTTTTTGACAGATCAATCTGTGAAGTTTTGGAAATGAAAATATATGTCTAATAAATCGTGATTTGCTATCTAAATATTTGTCTAATGAATCGTCATTTACTATCTATATTTCTGTCTTATGAATCGGAATTTGCTATCTATATATTTGTCTATAAATCATGATTTTCTATCTCAATATTTGGCACATAATGAGATAATAAAGCAGAAGTGGGCTGATTTTGTCATTTGAGTTTAATGATTATTGTATGCCAGTGCCTATTCTAAAAAGAAAATAGACAAAAATCTTTACATACACACAAAATGGTGGTACTTTAAATACACACAAAATGGTGGTACTTTGAATACACACAAAATAGTGGTACTTTAAATACACACAAAATGGTGGTACTTTAAATACACACAAAATGGTGGTACTTTAAATACACACAAAATGGTGGTACTTTAAATACACACAAAATGGTGGTACTTTAAATACACACAAAATGGTGGTACTTTAAATACACACAAAATGGTGGTACTTTAAATACACACAAAATGGTGGTACTTTAAATACACACAAAATGGTGGTACTTTAAATACACACAAAATGGTTGTACCGGCACTTAAATACTCACAAAATCATTCTACTTTATTTACACACAAAATGTTCGTACTTTATAAACACACAAAATGGTGGTACTTCAAATAAACTTATTTGCCAATGGGCAGATAATGTTGTTTTTTTTTGTTTTTTTTTAAATTGCCATTCTTATTCAGCAAGAGATGTCTTATAAGGCTTATAGAGAGCAAATTTATGCTTAAAGTTAAAGTCGACAATATCTTAAAAACTAGAGCTGCCAGGATAAATCCGATGCCATTTTTGGAATCTGCGCCCCAACTGCCTGTCAGATCAGACGTGTTACTCCAGGCCTCAAGAAAAAGAGTGGCTCTATCAGCCTCTGTCATTAAATGATACATTGACAAGAGTGGCTCTATCAGCCTCTGTCATTAAATGACACATTGACGCCTGTGTTAAGCTGATGTGAATACTTTCATTAAAATTGAATCGTAGATTTACAAAATACCAGAGGACCGCATCGCCGCCTTGGAAAACATTATGTTCCCAACGCACATAATGAAGTCAATATTTGAACTAACATCATGTTCCCAACACACATGATGAAGTCAATATTTGAACTAACATCATGTTCCCAACGCACATAATGAAGTCAATATTTTAACTAACATCATGTTCCCAACACACATAATGAAGTCAATATTTTAACTAACATCATGTTCCCAACACACATAATGAAGTCAATATTTTAACTAACATCATGTTCCCAACACACATAATGAAGTCAATATTTTAACTAACATCATGTTCCCAACACACATAATGAAGTCAATATTTTAACTAACATCATGTTCCCAACACACATAATGAAGTCAATATTTTAACTAACATCATGTTCCCAACACACATAATGAAGTCAATATTTTAACTAACATCATGTTCCCAACACACATAATGAAGTCAATATTTGAACTAACATCATGTTCCCAACACACATAATGAAGTCAATATTTTAACTAACATCATGTCCCTGACACAAAGCATTAAAGTCACTATTTTTTTTTATTTTATTGTATACATATTTATTAACAAAAAGAATATTAAGGTTTGTTTTTTAATATTTTTTTTTTTAATTTAAATGTTATTATATACACATTAATTAAGAAAATTAGGAATGTACCCATTAATACAATCTTTAGAAATGTACACATTAATACAATCTTTAGGAATGTACACATTAATACAATCTTTAGGAATGTAAACATTGATAAAACCTTTAGCATTTGTACACTCTTATTGAACACAAAGTTACATGCAAGTGTTAAATAGTTCATAAAAATAGTTACGACAACAAGTTTTTTTTTTTAAAGTTTCAAAATAAAAAAAAATAACCAAAAAAAACATTGGTTTACATAGAATGTAGGAATTTTTTAAATTATTATTTTGGTCTGGTTTGGGGGGGCGGGCACTTTTTTTTCTTTTTCTTTTTTTGCTGTGTCAGCTGTAATTTTTTTTTATGAAATACACATTTACACATTTTGTTGTAAATTAACAAGATGTTATAAAGCAAGGTCTTCAACACACGTGCCAGACGTGGCCCCGCACGTGCTAGACTTGGCACCACATGTGCCTGACCTGGCACCAAAAGTGCCAGAATAGGCACGCAAATTGAATTTCAATGACAATTGGCATCCGATAGATCAAACACAATAAGAAATGAAATGTTTAGCAATGCTTCATATAAGGCAGACTTTTAGATTGTAAATACATAGAATGAATGAGGAATCCAACTGTAGCACAATATTACCAAAGGTTGCAGACTCTGTTTACAGGCCCGTTCTTAGGCATACGCTAACTACGCATCCGTGTAGGGCCCCGAACGTGAGGGGGGCCCCCGTGAGGCGCCCTCGATCCGTTTTTTTTATTATTTTTTTTTAACTGGCACTGCAGCCGTCAGTGTCACTCACGTTACCTTCCTCATCCTGAAATGTATCACTCTGAGTTGAAATCGGAGGCAGGGGAAGGGAAGCAGCAAGGGGAGCTTTGGGGGTGGCAGACAGGAAATTGGCAGAATAGAGGTGCCGCAGTGGTGGGTGATGTTTTTCTCCTCAGCTCGAGGGAGCTCCACCCCCGAACCCCCCCCCCTTCCTGGCCCCCAACCTACGCTCCATGCTTAGGGCCCCCAAACTCCTAAGAACGGCTCTGCTTGTTATATATTACACTAAGGGGTTGACACATGGACAAAAATTACATGACCTGGAGTTTAAACCATAAATACGACCAAGACTTTGAGTCTCAAGAGATCAAATTGTGTTGTGTCTTAGAAA